CCATAGCACCGAACATTATAAAACTGATATGGATAGTTGTAATTGTACCATACACCTCTAGCACTTTTAGCACCTACAATTGTACACTAACAACAGGGAAAAAACAGTAAAAAATGTTTACCATAAGCTGAGTATCCAATGCTGGAACAGACAACACTAGCTAGATTATTAGCAATGACAGTACTACCATATCCACACACCATAACCCATGAACCATTGACACAGACTCTTACATTACCATGACGACTAGAAGGGCCACCATATAGTTCTATTTTATTGTTAACACAAGGATCTATTACAATATGGGGCAAAAAGTATCAGGTCAAATTCTATTAGGTTTTGTATTCTCACTTTCACATCTGATACTCAATTCTCGATAATTGTTGCACCCACTATACCACCACCAACTATAATGGTATGGATAATTTCTTTGGTAACAGTTACTTAGATTTGATTGAAAAGCACCACAAGACAGTTCATAAATGAAAATTGGATTATTACTAACACCAAACTTTGAGCTTGAAAGCACTATACCACCTACACAGCAATATAACTATGTGAACAGAATAAATGACTGTTACCTTGATATCCTAATTCATGACACAAAGTGTAAACATTTCTTTCGTTAGAAGAATGTGTAGTACAGACTGAACCCCAAACTCCATTCTCACACACTTCAACTCTTCCTTCATATTCTGTAGCACCATCAACTAATCTCACTTCACCAGTAGTACAACTAGAATACTTCACATCAGTAACTAAAAAAAGAGTATCAATGAAGTTATACACGTACTGTCTTACATTGACAAGCAAGAGCAGCATCATCATAATGATTGCATGAATATTCACTGAATGCATTCATAGGACAGTCCCAAAGTGAAGACTCTGTCCCAGTACAGTTAAGATCATTAATGTGAATATGCCAAGTTCCTTCAACATATGTGTTTTTTATTGCAGAAGCACCTAGTAAGGAGAAAAGAATGTGCTTATAAAATATCTAATAACTTGCTACCATAGGGAGAGTATCCAAGCATTCTACACACTACACTAGCATCTTTTTCATCCCAAAAGTGATCACAAATTGTTCCCCAGATATTGCTCACACAAACTTGAACTCGTCCATATCTCCTAAAATAGCTACCTGAATCACTGTATAGACGAACAGTACCATTGGCACAAGGAGCTACAAAGATAGATCTAGCAATGAAGAGTCAATAATTTATAATAAGCACTTTCACATTTGACTCCAACATCATAAGTGTGTGAACAGTATGATGGTATTAGTGGAGAATAGGAACAGTTAATTAGATGTGACTCCTGTCCACTACAATGAGTTAAAGACATCAGTATAGGACCTGAGCCTTGCCCAAATTCACTAGCTGTACCATATGCAACTGATCCTAAATACTATGTAAATAAGTTATTTTACATATACTTTACCTAGCTCCATGTGTCCTGCTTGCCTACACACAACATTACTGTCAAGTGTATCCCAAGAGTACCGCCAAGTCCAACTACTGTGGCTTCTACTGCATACAGTTCCCCATACTCTATTGATGCATATTTCTACACGTCCTTCATACTGTGTGCTACCATTAACCAGTCTCACTTCACCTTCCATACAGTCTGCTTTAAGTGTACCAATATCTTAATTAAAATAATTTAAAAATAGACACACTAATAGCTATTGTAGAGTCACTTACTCTGACAAAAGACATTAGCATCTCTGCTTATGGAACAAGCATAGCCAGCCAGACCATTATGTGGACAGGATAGTATAGTGGCTTCATTTCCTGTACAGTTCAAGTCAATGATAGCATGTGATTGTGCACTAGAACTGACATATGATACCACAGATCCTATAGCACCTGTATAGCACAAAACATAAAAGTTATTTGAAATGATACTATCATACCATAAGGAGAATATCCTAGCTGCTTGCATACCACACTGGCATCATTATTATCCCAAAAGTCACTGCATATGCTTCCCCAGTATCCATTAGAGCAAACCTCAACTGCTCCATATGAAAGACTTGGATTTGCCTAATAAGTATAATTTTATTACATTAGTATATAATAAATAATACAAGGTGCTTACCAGTCTAACTGAGCCATCAGTGCAGGACTCAGTGAATTGAACGGAAGCAGAAAAGAGCAAAATCAAGAAGACTAACTGAAACATTTTTCCTAAAGAAATATTTATTGCTATAAGCACATAAGACATACACACAGAGAGACTATTACCGTACAAAAGGAAATTTTGGAGGGACTAAATTTTGGCAAATTGGTAAATTTTGGATGTTTGGCGAATTTTAATTTGGCAATTTTGTGGCCATGTGCCATTGAGCTTGCGCATAATGGCTCAAAATGGCAAATTTTTATTTTGGCAAATGGCTATCAAAACCCGCGCCAAATTCGCCAAATTTAACTACCTCCAAAATTTCCTTCCATACGGTATATTGTGAGTTGTACCCTGAGACAAGCTTCACGACACATAAATAGCATTAGCTATCATAATTTGTAGCAATCATGCATGGCATGAATTGCTACAACAGTTTACAAGTCTACTCTAGCTTGACTTATTAAAATTGAATAAATAGCAACAAGAATTTCTATACAACTAATGTGAACTATGCTACTATGAACAGCAGCTTGTTAAACAAGATCAGAATCAAAATAAACATGAATGTCTTCTTTTAATAAAAAAAACATCCACTTATCACACATTTCTGTTACAGGTACTCTTCCTGCAGGATTGAAAGCCATTCAACCTGCTTACCAAATATTCTATACATAGTAATATTGTCAAGTCTCAGTACTATAAAAATATAGTGTTGTTTTAGTAAAAAAATCTAAAAATCCAAGTTTAATTGGAATCAACATTCTACAAAATCATAATGATTAATGTATGAAAAAAGTAAGAATCAAAAGATTCCTTTTGATGATATACTGTATACAACAAATTACTCTTTATTAGGGGTCTTAAACTCTATTACTTTGTTTCAATAACCTTATATGCATAATTGCATTACTACTACACTAGTATTATGTAATCCTTACTTTATAATAGCATTACCTCATACCAACTTTTTCACAACAAAATTTTGTGTTATAATAATCATAAAAATAACCAAGAATTGATTTCCTTAGCAGCACTGTTAAGCTTTGTTTTCATATAGTTTTGGCTGTTGTGTGGATTCTATGGTTTGCATACAACTATTGCCTGATCTCCATTCCCAAAATTGTTATTGCAAGGCTATATCAAAATCTGGCTTCAAACACTAATTAAATAAACTTGAGGGTTAATGGGTATACATAGACTAAGTGGTGGTGCCTTTGATACACCGACACACATAGCGAGTTCATAGCAGCATTGTTAAGCTTTGTTTTCATATAGTTTTGGCTGTTGTGTGGATTCTATGGTTTGCATACAACTGTTGCCTAATTTCTATCTCCACAATTGTTATCGCAGGGCTATATCAAAGTCTGGCTTTAGTGCACTAATTAAATAAACTACAGATGTTGAGGAATGTTGAAGGTTAATGGGTATACATGCCTAAGTGGTGATGCCTTTGATACACCCACACACTATACTACAACTCCACTAAAAATGAATTAACAAGATGCATATATTTTTACTAATGGCCAGTTGACAACAGAGTCTGAGCTAACCATCAGACATCACACATGTATACACAATACATTATGAATATCTACATGATTTTCAGGCTCAAGTAGATAGTGGTAGATAGTGGAGAGCAGCCTAAAATATTCTTCTTTATTTTCATATATTTTTATGTATTATATCTATACTAAAATAATGATCCAAAAGGCTTAAGACTTTAACAATTACTGTATACGTTCTTATTTTGTTAAGTACTATCTATGTACAGGCTGTAGACCTGTATCTACAGTCCCAGCACTGGGAGACAAAATTTTGACTTCTGATCCCGGCAATCGGTAGATTGCCGTAAAACGGCAATCTACCATAAAACGGTAATTAATAAAATGGTAATTTTAATTATATTGATTAAAATTGTGAACATTGATTCACTGCCATGTGTTTATAAATAGTTCAGTGTAAAGACACTAACTGTTGACAAACAAACTTTATATGTAGACTACACAAACACTTATAAAAATTAGTGCTACGTGTTATCTCTTACAGTTGCTTTAGATCCAATTTTCTCAATTGATGCAACTTTTTCTTCTGAATTAAAACTAATCAGTGATGGAAATAGTGAGCTCAACCATTAAAACGCTAAAATAAGAAATATAATTATAAAGAAAGGACATCTTCTGAAACTTACTTTAAAATATTGTCTGTAAGGAAAAGACTATAAACTGAGCTACAAAGCGCTTATAGACCTTTCCACTCTCCAACCGCCGCCTGGAGCAGCTTTTTGTACTTTTCCAGTATTAAAAAATTGATAGGCTGGTCGGTTAAAAATTTTGTCATCTACCAAAAGTTTGTACACAAAATATTGCCACCAGTATAAGAACAATCACTGTAACAATAAAAGTCATAACAGCAAAAACTATCACAAGAATCTCAGACAATGAGGCTCGTGCTACTGGTGTTCTAGTCTCGTCCCTACTGGTGTTCTAGACGGAGATGATGTTGGGCTTGAAATTAAATCCTCTACAAATTAAAAATATAATACGCATTGATTTTAATAATTATAAATGTACCACAGTTAATTCCTGTATATCCATCTAAGCAACTGCATACAGTGTCTCCAGCAATCAAACGACAAGTCCCTCCATTCACACAAATGTTCTCTTCACATTTATAGAGTAATGAAAATAATATTAATGTCAAAATATGTCACTTCTAATCAATGTGTTAACTAAGTTATTTTATTAGGTTGATTACCTGATTGATTGTAAGCTATTCCTTGATATCCTTCAAAACAGAAGCAACTATACACAAGGAGGATCACAAACAACTTAAAAAAGGTTAAAAATTTTATAGATTTAATATTTTTACTTGGCTAAAGTAGATCTATATCTTCTAGAATGTCTAAATCCCCTCCTGTTTCTTTATTAGCCTCTCCAATACTTAAATCACGAATAGCAGCAACATGAAAAAAAGCACAACTTGTCATCACCACACAACTACAGGTTAATCAAGAAATAACAACAGTTAAACTAACCTTTAATGCTTTTTCTTTTAGTTCTGGGGCATTGAACTTTGCATCAAACAATGAAGTGTATTCTGGTTTATAAAAAGTATTCCAGCTACCAGACTGACTGTATGTGAAGATACTATTACTGGGGTCATCAATAATCCCTATGTATAAACATATAAAGTACATAGTGTAACAAGAGTAACATACATGTTTGGCTAAAATTTGTATGTAAGTCTTAATGAAAACTTGGTTGATAAAATGCTGCTCACAATACAATTAGTGAATTAAATAATTGATCACAGTACATTAAGAGAGTCAACATTAGTTGGTATTGATACAGTGCTTTGACCAAGAGAAACAGCAACTGCATCTATTTATGTTAAAATATAATGTATACATTTAAAGCGGATACCATATGGAGAGAATCCTTGTTGTGTACAAACAACTGAAGCTTCAGTATCAGTCCATGATGAATCACAAATTGTACCCCATGTCTGACTAACACACAAATCAACTCTACCATATGATGGAGGGGAACTGGTATCTCCAACAATACAAATATCTCCATCAGTAGATCTAAATAATTCTATCATTTACAATAAAATACCATAGTGGGAAAAATTAACATAGTTTCATTTTTGCAATTGGTAGTACTGAGATCAATACATTGGAATTACGGAATCACCTATATCAAGTGCTGCTAAATATTCCCACTGTACAGTATAAGAATAAGCATCATCATAAAGTAGATCTACCTTCACACTTTACTCCGGCTAGTCTAGAGTTGTGACAGTTAGAAAGATGGTACAAACTTTTATTACAGTCCAACAAAGAGTCTTCCCTCCCTGTACATTGTAATCTAGTCAACAGTATAGGTAGTTTACTTAGACCATAACTAGACCTATCATTGGGTACTGAGTCCTAACAACAAAAATAAGTTGATTAACAACTTATTTAGACATTAAAATACCAAATGCTTGATACCCTGCCTTTTTACATGCTACATTAGTCTGAGTCTTCTATAGTCCAACCATCATCACAGACAGCTCCCCAAACATTTTTAATGCATACTTCAACTCTTCCTTCAAATGGAGTTGTTGTATTGTTCATATAAAAGAACTCAATTAATACAACAATTAAAATAAGAGAGACAATCACAGAATTATACACTACACAAAAATACTGTTAATTACAAAAATTACTAAGTATTTATACCAACAGAGAATCCACACAAATGTTAGTAACCACAACTATGAATTATAATATATTAATTAGTCATAAGACGTTGCATGTAATAACATTAACTACGATCCATGCATAACAGGATTGGTACCACCAACAAGCCCAATATCATCATTAGCACAACTAGAATATGGTGTTTGGGAAGCTAAAAATTATAAAAATAAATAGTATCAATACTAGATGTTTTACTATGCTAACCAATACAGCGAACTCCAGCAACTTCATGACTCTGACAGTTTATTGATGCACCAGAAGTTGTGTGCCTTGAACAATCTAACAATGATTCCTCTGATCCTGAACAAGATAAGGCTCCAATCACAAATGAAGGATTGTCACTGACACTGAAATAATTATTAGTAAAAGATTGTGATCCTGTAAAAAGATAATAACATGTTGGTATTAATTTCGATTTTTTTACCAAAAGGTTGTAGTCCTAATTGATAGCATACCACATTACTGTCACTAGAGTCCCATTGGTTATCACATACTGATCCCC